CCAGTAAGAATTCCGGCTCTCACAGACCTGTTCGTTTTTCTTTAAGAAGCCCTCCTGTTCTCCACTCATTACCTGTATTAACTGCACCTGTTTGAACTCGTTACCTGTATAAAAAGACACCTGTCCACACACTCAATCAAACAGACTCCAACCTCTCCACAATGGCCAAGACCAGAGAGCTGTGTAAGGACATCAGGGATAAAATTGTAGACCTGCACAAGGCTGGGATGGGCTACAGGACAATAGGCAAGCAGCTTGGTGAGAAGGCAACAACTGTTGGCGCAATTATTAGAAAATAGAAGAAGTTCAAGATGATGGTCAATCACCCTCGGTCTGGGGCTCCATGCAAGATCTCACCTCGTGGGGCATCAATGATCATGAGGAAGGTGAGGGATCAGCCCAGAACTACACGGCAGGACCTGGTCAATGACCTGAAGAGAGCTGGGACCACAGTCTCAAAGAAAACCATTAGTAACACACTACGCCATCATGAATTAAAATCCTGCAGCGCACGCAAGGTCCCCCTGCTCAAGCCAGCGCATGTCCAGGTCCGTCTGAAGTTTGCCAATGACCATCTGGATGATCCAGATGAGGAATGGGAGAAGGTCATGTCATCTGATGAGACAAAAATAGAGCTTTTTGGTCTAAACTCCACTCGCCGTGTTTGGAGGAAGAAGAAGGATGAGTACAACCCCAAGAACACCATTCCAACCGTGAAGCATGGAGGTGGAAACATCATTCTTTGGGGATGCTTTTCTGCAATGGGGACAGGACGACTGCTCCGTATTGAGGGGAGGATGGATGGGGCCATGTATCGCGAGATCTTGGCCAACAACCTCCTTCCCTCAGTAAGAGCATTGAAGATGGGTTGTGGCTGGGTCTTCCAGCATGACAACGACCTGAAACACACAGCCAGGGCAACTAAGGAGTGACTCCGTAAGAAGCATCTCAAGGTCCTGGAGTGGCCTAGCCAGTCTCCAGACCTGAACCCAATAGAACATCTTTGGAGGGAGCTGATAGTCCATATTGCCCAGCGACAGCCCCGAAATCTGGAGAAGGTCTGTATGGAGGAGTGGGCCAAAATCCCTGCTGCAGTGTGTGCAAACCTGGTCAAGACCTACAGGAAACGTATGATTTCTGTAATTGCAAACAAAGGTTTCTGTACCAAATATTAAGTTCTGCTTCTCTGATGTATCAAATACTTACGTCATGCAATAAAATGCAAATTAATTACTTAAAAATCATACAATGTGATTTTCTGGATTTTTGTTTTAGATTCCGTCTCTCACAGTTGAAGTGTACCTATGATACAAATGACAGACCTCTACATGCTTTGTAAGTAGGAAAACCTGCAAAATCCAATCCCACTGTATATGTTTCAGTAAGATTGGATTTTTTGCATTTATAGCAATGGTTATTAATTGTACTGCAGGGATGGAACTTGTTGTGGTTGCAGCTGCAGAGAGGTATTTGGGTGTGCGAGACTTACATTGACATTACATTTACGTCATTTAGCAGATGCTCTTATCCAGAGCGACTTACAAATTGGTGCATTCACCTTATAGCCAGTGGGATAACCACTTTACAATATGTTATTTTTTTTTTTTAATTTTGTGGGGTGGGGTAAGGGGGGGTAGAAGGATTACTTTTTCCTATCCCAGGTATTCCTTAAAGAGGTGGGGTTTCAAGTGTCTCCGGAAGGTGGTGAGTGACTCCGCTGTCCTGGCGTCGTGAGGGAGCTTGTTCCACCATTGGGGTGCCAGAGCAGCGAACAGTTTTGACTGGGATGAGCGGGACCTGTGCTTCCGCAGAGGTAGCGGGGCCAGCAGGCCAGAGGTGGATGAACGCAATGCCCTCGTTTGGGTGTAGGGACTGATCAGAGCCTGAAGGTACGGAGGTGCCGTTCCCCTCACAGCTCCGTAGGCAAGCACCATGGTCTTGTAGCAGATGCGAGCTTCAACTGGAAGCCAGTGGAGTGTGCGGAGGAGCGGGGTGACGTGAGAGAACTTGGGAAGGTTGAACACCAGACGGGCTGCGGCATTCTGGATGAGTTGTAGGGGTTTAATGGCACAGGCAGGGAGCCCAGCCAACAGCGAGTTGCAGTAATCCAGACGGGAGATGACAAGTGCCTGGATTAGGACCTGTGCCGCTTCCTGTGTAAGGCAGGGTCGTACTCTCCGAATGTTGTAGAGCATGAACCTACAGGATCGGGTCACCGCCTTGATGTTAGCGGAGAACGACAGGGTGTTGTCCAGGGTCACGCCAAGGCTCTTCGCACTCTGGGAGGAGGACACAACAGAGTTGTCAACCGTGATGGCGAGATCATGGAACGGGCAATCCTTCCCCGGGAGGAAGAGCAGCTCCGTCTTGCTGAGGTTCAGCTTGAGGTGGTGATCCATCATCCACACTGATATGTCTGCCAGACATGCAGAGATGCGATTCGCCACCTGGTTATCAGAAGGGGGAAAGGAGAAGATTAGTTGTGTGTCGTCTGCGTAGCAATGATAGGAGAGGCCATGTGAGGATATGACAGAGCCAAGTGTATAGCGAGAATAGGAGAGGGCCTAGAACTGAGCCCTGGGGGACACCAGTGGTGAGAACACGTGGTGCGGAGACAGATTCTCGCCACGCCACTTGGTAGGAGCGACCGGTCAGGTAGGACGCAATTCAAGAGTGAGCCGCGCCGGAGATGCCCAGCTTGGAGAGGGTGGAGAGGAGGATCTGATGGTTCACAGTATCAAAGGCAGCAGACAGGTCTAGAAGGACAAGAGCAGAGGAGAGAGAGTTAGCTTTAGCAGTGTGGAGAGCCTCCGTGACACAGAGAAGAGCAGTCTCAGTTGAATGACCAGTCTTGAAACCTGACTGGTTTGGATCAAGAAGGTCATTCTGAGAGAGATAGCAAGAGAGTTGGCTAAAGACGGCACGCTCAAGAGTTTTGGAGAGAAAAGAAAGAAGGGATACTGGTCTGTAGTTGTTGACATCAGAGGGATCGAGTGTTGTTTTTTTGAGAAGGGGTGCAACTCTCGCTCTCTTAAAGATGGAAGGGACATAGCCAGCGGTCAAGGATGAGTTGATGAGCGAGGTGAGGTAAGGGAGAAGGTCACCAGAGATGGTCTGGAGAAGAGAGGAGGGGATAGGGTCAAGCAGGCAGGTTGTTGGGCGGCCGGCCGTCACAAGTCGCAAGATTTTATCTGGAGAGAGAGGGGAGAAAGAAGTCAAAGCATAGGGTAGGGCAGTGTGAGCAGGACCAGCAGTGTCATTTGACTTAACAAACGAGGATCGGATGTCGTCAACCTTCTTTTCAAAATGGTTGACGAAGTCATCCACAGAGAGGGGGGGAGGGGGAGGAGGTTTCAGCAGGGAGGAGAAGGTGGCAAAGAGCTTCCTAGGGTTAGAGGCAGATGCTTGGAATTTAGAGTGGTAGAAAGTGGCTTTAGCAGCAGAAACAGATGAAGAAAATGTAGAGAGGAGGGAGTGAAAAGATGCCAGGTCTGCAGGGAGTCTAGTTTTCCTCCATTTCCGCTCGGCTGCCCGGAGCCCTGTTCTGTGAGCTCGCAATGAGTCATCAAGCCACGGAGCAGGAGGGGAGGACCGAGCCGGCCGGGAGGATAGGGGACATAGAGAGTCACAGGATGCAGAAAGGGAGGAGAGGAGGGTTGAGGAGGAAGAATCAGGAGATTGGAGGGAGAATGATTGAGCAGAGGGAAGAGATGATAGGATGGAAGAGAGAGAGTAGCGGGAGAGAGAGAGCGAAGGTTGTGACGGCGCATTACCATCTGAGTAGGGGCAGAGTGAGTAGTGTTGGAGGAGAGCGAGAGAGAAAAGGATACAAAGTAGTGGTCGGAGACATGGAGGGGAGTTGCAGTGAGATTAGTAGAAGAACAGCATCTTGTAAAGATGAGGTCAAGCGTATTGCCTGCCTTGTGAGTAGGGGGGGACGGTGAGACGGTGAGGTCAAAAGAGGAGAGGAGTGGAAAGAAGGAGGCAGAGAGAAATGAGTCAAAGGTAGACGTAGGGAGGTTGAAGTCACCCAGAACTGTGAGGGGTGAGCCATCCTCAGGAAAGGAACTTATCAAGGCGTCAAGCTCATTGATGAACTCTCCAAGGGAACCTGGAGGGCGATAACAAAACACAAATGTAGGTTATAACTTACCCCTAGCAGCTACTGTTAGCTAGCCAAGTGCAAAGCTAGCCACTGAATTGACTCAGCCAGTTCGCGTCTGTTCGCTAGGTCGTTCCAGCTATTGTTTACTAGTAGCTATCCAGGTAGCAACAAGCTAGCTAAATGTTAAGCACAGTAGCCACTTACTACCTAACGTTAACGCTTCAGACAATGAGGTTAGAAAAACAGCTGAATGGTAGGCATTATTGTATGTAATTATTGTAGGCAGCTAGCTGGCGTAATTACAGGTACTCTCAGGCGTGAAACAACTATCCACAGTTGCTAATAGTTACCAGTAGCTACCCGCTAGCTAGTCCAGGTAGTGGGTTAGCTAGCTAGCTTCATGCTTAACCGGGTTCAGCCGAATACAATACTAACCTACAATAATTACATACAACAACCCACGATAACTACCTACAATACCTAACTACAATCTAAATACATAGTTTAAGCTTTACTCGACAAAGCCCAAACTATGTATATAAGCCATATAAGCCAAGCTTACCTCCCGCCAGAGAGAGACACAACCTCACCCGACGACGAGTCCTCTCACTGTCCTAGACTTGACATCAGAAGAGTTACAGGGAGTGTTAAGTGGTGATGTTCCATCATCTCAGGTTGCGGGCATGAGGTAGGAATGAATATATTTAAATAGTGGAGTTGGGTGGTGTTAATTATTAATAATAATAGTGTAGTGTTAGATGGTAGGGTATTTATTTTTTTATTTTTTCAAGCAAAATATAAGGGAGTTGTACACCAGTCTAGTAGGTGGCGGTAATGCAACAAATTGGATGTCAACTGCCGTTAAACCTCATCGAAGAAGAAGAAGAAGAAGTATGTTGTCTTCTTGCCGTGTCGTCAAACTGTCAAATCAGCTAGCTAGCTGCTCTGGAGTGTTCTACTGTGGCTCATTGTTCTAGGATTATTATTAAAGACTATTACAAAGAATGAGAAGAGTTACTCTTTTTGTGAACGGGACGTCCAAAAATGGCAAGGTGCGTACAGTTAGTTTAGCTATTGGGCTAACGATAGCTAACTGTAAGGTAAGACTAGCAATGTAATGTAATGCGGTCCGTAGCTTCGATGCAACTAAGCGAGTTTGTAACAGCCAAATGTCCCAACAAACTCGCATAGTTGCATCAAAGCTATGCGGCCCTTATAATTTGTGTAGCTAGTTTACTTTGCGCGCTAACGCTAGCTATTTAATATGATAGGTTGTTTGGCATTACGAACAAACGTAGCTATCTGCTAACTAATTTCCTAGTTAGCTATCTGGCTACATTAAAGGTAGACTCAGAAATATGACATCATCATTCAAAATGTGGCCACTTCCTTACAGACGTCAACAACAGTGTTTTCAAACCAACAACATTTAAACCTGTGACCCACCATTGCCTCTTAACAATGTTGGTATGTTTCAAGGGAGGGGGCACATTCGGAAGAACTGGTGCCAGTCTTGGTAGATTTTAACTTTGTTGTTGACATATGTATATAAGCAGTTGTCCAACTATTACATTTTAGGGCACATCGACAGATTTTTCACCTAGTCGGCTCGGGGATTAGAACCAGCGACCTTTCGGTTACTGGCACAACGCTCTTAACCACTAAGCTACCTGCCGCCCCAATATATTATCATGTCATATTGCTGAGTCTACCTTTAAGTTTGCTAGCAAGAGAGAATGGGTTTACCCAAATCAGTCTTTTTTGTGTGACAATAACTCTGTTTTCCTTCATTAGGTTGTAGCTGTGTATGGGACCTTGGCTGACCTGTTGTCTGTAGCAAGCAATAAATTGGGAATCAAAGCCTGTAATTTATACAATGGAAAAGGTGGTCTTATAGATGACATAGCACTCATCAGGTAGGGTACATTTCCTTCAACACTTTGTAGTTTCATGTACTTGGAATGTCCTTACTCAGGCCAATATTACATATTCATTTCTCTACTATTCCTTATTATAGGGATGATGATGTTTTGTATGTCTCAGAGGGAGAACCCTTTGTTGGTGAGTTTGTGTCCTCTAAATCTTTCCTAGTCTTTGCAAACCATTTGGTTCTGAAGAATGAGGTGGTGAGTTATCCCTCTGAATAATGTTATTATCTTAGACCCACAGAATGATGTCAGGGCTACAGACGGCCTGCCTAGGGCACACACAGATTGGCTGACCCTTAATATTGGGGGGCGTCTCTTCACCACCACACGGTAAGCAATGGAGGAGTTGTTTCTAATGTCTGTGAACATCAAAAGTCACATAGGAATATCTCTGTTAGTATTATTGCCATCCACTTTATTATTTGGTCACGTTTTTCCTCAAAATTATGGTCCTTTTTACAGGAGCACCTTGGTCAGCAAGGAGCCAGAGAGCATGCTTGCTCATATGTTCCGGGAGAAGGGTAAACAGTAATTAAGTTTGTCACATCTAACACTGCTGACCTTATACAAGATACCTTTTCTGTTGTAATTTACCCATAATGATGGCCTCTCTTTGCTCTGCAGATGTATGGGGTAACAAGCAGGATGAACGTGGGGCTTACCTGATTGACCGCAGCCCAGAATACTTCGAGCCTATTCTTAATTACCTGCGACATGGCCAGCTCATTATCAATGAAGGAATCAATTTACTTGGTATGTATGGCATTTACAGGCGGCGCATTATCTTTATTCTACAATAAAGCTCACAGATTAATGATATCACTTCAGTTGTACATGTTGACTACAGTATTTATATTTCTGAAATCTTGACAACATATTGGCTTTAATCAGTAAATCTAATCTGGGTTTCAGGGGTTTTGGAGGAGGCTAAATTCTTTGGAATTGAGCAGCTGGCTGAGCAGTTGGAAGTAGCAATAAAGGTGAAGAACTCATGGCCTTATGGATGACAAGCAAGCTCCATATTTCAAATGATTTATTTAATTTCGTCACTGGATATTAATCCATGTCACCACATGCTTTTCTCCAGAATAACCAGCCACCTGAGGACCACTCTCCCATCTCTCGCAAGGAGTTTGTTCGGTTTCTGCTGGCTACACCCACCAAATCAGAGCTCCGCTGTCAGGTAAAACAACACATTTTCTACAAGGCCAACACCCTGTTGAACATTAGATACAGTTTACCTAACATATGTGAACGTGATAAATAATACCTCTCTCCATCCAAAAGGGACTTAATTTCAGTGGTGCTGATCTCTCTCGCCTTGACTTGCGCTACATCAACTTCAAGATGGCCAACCTGAGTCGCTGCAACCTGACACATGCCAACCTATGCTGTTCAAACCTGGAGCGGGCTGACCTCTCTGGGGCCAACCTCGATGTAAATCCATTAGCTCCTTCATTAGCTTATGAAACCTACCTGTTACAGCGTGTCAACATTTGAGAAATTAGCAGTATTTTGAGGGGACTGATTTTGTCTTTCTGTTTTAGGGTGCTAACTTGCAGGGTGTAAAAATGCTCTGTTCAAATGCTGAGGGGGCGTCTCTCAAAGGATGCAATTTTGAGGACCCGTCTGGACTAAAGGCCAACTTGGAGGGTAAACTGTAATTTATTTGTATTATAAGAGGGATGAGAAATATGGAACTGGAAACACTTGTATAACCTCTGGTGTTGAACATCTAATGTCTGTCTCATTAGGTGCCAATCTGAAAGGGGTCGACATGGAGGGAAGTCAGATGACTGGAATTAATCTGCGTGTGTCCACTCTAAAAAATGCTAAACTGAAGAACTGTAACCTACGGGGTGCCACTTTGGCAGGAACTGATCTTGAGGTAAGCAGAGGGCATTTAAGAGGATTAACCTTGAGACAAAAATATCAAGTAAATCTGAAACAAATGAGATCAGACAGCTCTTGTAATCATTTTGTTTGTTGTTGGAGGTTTATCAGATACCATAAAGTTGCATCCATCCTAAGATAACTGTTTTATTACTGTGACATCTAAGGTTATTGTCAAGAATACTGACTGGTTAGTACCAAGAATACTGACAGTTTTGTTTTACTCCTCACAGAATTGTGATCTGTCTGGCTGTGACTTACAAGAGGCCAACTTGAGAGGGTCCAATGTGAAGGGGGCCATTTTTGAAGAAATGCTGACTGCATTGCACATGTCTCAGAGTGTCAGATGACTCTCCTGCACAACCCTGCACATTCCACCTGGATTCAGGCTGGTTAATCTCATGGATGCCTGGCAACGATGTTATTATGCCAGCAAATCCCACCCACCCCTACTATCAAGCTTTCTGGACCCTTATGCAATACATACATTTTTATGCACATCCCACATCCCTTCCACCTGATATACTAGCTTTAAATCTCTTGCACTAGAGCACATCCAGGGTTATCCATTTATGTTATGTAGTGGAAGGTTTTAAATGTCTGACTGTCTTTCCTTATTTTTTTCCCAAAACCAAAATATTGAATGTTCTTTATGTATGTTTACTATTACGTTTTTTTTTTTTTATTATTTCAAGATGTGTGTATGTATATATATTTCTTGATTATTTAACACGGTTCTGTAAGTCAAAGATTATCAAACTATAAGTCCATGAAAGTTGAAAGTAAAAATGTAAGGGCCTCAACCAAGACTGTGGTATAGCATAAGTGGGAGGTGGCATGGTGTGACTGTACATTCTTATCAATGTACTTAGTTTAATTGCCAGATATGCTTTATGTTTAGGATGTTTATTTTCTAAGTCAAAGCCATACCGTAGCATGGTGAAAATGGCATAATAATTTGCTGTTATTGCACCACACAATTATGCTGTGGATTTCATTTTTCATATAAGACTGTGTGTGTTGAACTGTATTCAACAGAATTTCAAGTATGCAATGTACTCTTTCCTTGCTGCCTGTTTTTGGTGTTCTCTGTGAATCTACCTCCTTATTTTTACCACTGTCTGATTGATCTCTAGTCTAGTTGCATGCATTTCACTGTGGTTTTTGCCTCTTGTTGTATGAAATCCATTATTCATCATATCCAAATATGATAAGCAATTTATCGAAGTGAATGTGTGTTTTAATTGTGTTACTGTCATGTTCAAGCTTGTGTAGCACCTAGTTGTAAGAGGAAGATAGTTGTATAACAACACTCCCGTCAAGGAGACAACAACCAATGAACAGGGCATTTCATTCAGTCATGTATTGACATTTTGCTTTGCAACTTCTGTTTTACTCACTCATAGGACACCAAAAAGTTAAATGTGGTGGTTGTAACAATGTATTTCAAATCCAGTGCTTCCAAAACGTGTAAGTTATTAGGATAGCAAAATGTTATCACTGCTGGACTGTGATTGTCACAATCTTACATCAGTTATTTTAGAACGATGTCTGCATGTTTAAAGACTGCATTTTTTCTGGCTGTAGCTGAAAGATTTTGAGATGCAATATTCTCTCTATACTCTATCACAGTAGGTAGGTACTCATCTTTCGCGATAATGAAGGCAATCATAAAGAATATTGCACCTTGAGTGTGGAGATCGTCAATATCTGAACCTTGTAAGAAAGAACAATGGTTATTTATTTTGATATAACATATTGTATTAAAGAAATATGGAATGAAAGTTAGTTCTTTAAAGACCGGGTGTGTTTCTCGGCTTTTGCTGTCTATAATTATTGCACTCAACCACAAAAATGTAATTCAATAAATTACTGTTATGAATTAAAAAATAAATTACTTGTGCAAATGAAATACTGGTATGTTTTCGCTAACTTTCCAACTAATAACTCTTAAGACCCTGTGCCTAATTCATATAATAGTTGCTGCTGTAAAAGTGCACAATCATACCCAAAGTATTTTAGGCTTTTAAAAGGCTCTTTGGGGTGCCTGAAGTGGAGGTGCTTAGTGCTGCTCTGCAAAATATTTTTGAGTGGATTATTTTTTCTGTAATCCCACTTTTTTGTGACCTGCAGCGAGGTGATGGGACTAAGGGGCCACATGGAAACCAAGCTTCCAATAAAACCTCAGAGACAAATGAACTGCTCAGATAGAGTAAGGCTGACTATTGGTAGAATGGAAGAGAACAATGTCCTGTTGTTGCTGCTGCTCTTGGTGGTGGTACTAGTGTCACAGGGTTGCTGTCAACATTGGTACCATGACATGAGCCCGTCAACATTGGTCCTATGACATGAGACCAGGGGAGAAGAGAGAGACTGGCAGCCTGTCTGACACTGTGGGAAATGTAAGTACACTGCTCAAAAAAATAAAGGGAACACTTAAACAACACAATGTAACTCCAAGTCAATCACACTTCTGTGAAATCAAACTGTCCACTTAGGAAGCAACACTGATTGACAATACATTTCACATGCTGTTGTGCAAAAGACACCCCCAATAAAGGACTGGTTTTGCATGTGGTGACCACAGACCACTTCTCAGTTCCTATGCTTCCTGGCTGATGTTTTGGTCACTTTTGAATGCTGGCGGTGCTTTCACTCTAGTGGTAGCATGAGACGGAGTCTATAACCCACACAAGTGGCTCAGGTAGTGCAGCTCATCCAGGATGGCACATCAATGCGAGCTGTGGCAAGAAGGTTTGCTGTGTCTGTCAGCGTAGTGTCCAGAGCATGGAGGCGCTACCAGGAGACAGGCCAGTACATCAGGAGACGTGGAGGAGGCCGTAGGAGGGCAACAACCCAGCAGCAGGACTGCTACCTCCGCCTTTGTGCAAGGAGGAGCAGGAGGAGCACTGCCAGAGCCCTGCAAAATGACCTCCAGCAGGCCACAAATGTGCATGTGTCTGCTCAAACGGTCAGAAACAGACTCCATGAGGGTGGTTTGAGGGCCCGACGTCCACAGGTGGGGGTTGTGCTTACAGCCCAACACCGTGCAGGACGTTTGGCATTTGCCAGAGAACACCAAGATTGACAAATTCACCACTGGCGCCCTGTGCTCTTCACAGATGAAAGCAGGTTCATACTGAGCACGTGACAGACGTGACAGAGTCTGGAGACGCTGTGGAGAATGTTCTGCTGCCTGCAACATCCTCCAGCATGACCGGTTTGGCGGTGGGTCAGTCATGGTGTGGGGTGGCATTTCTCTGGGGGGCCGCACAGCCCTCCATGTGCTCTCCAGAGGTAGCCTGACTGCCATTAGGTACCGAGATGAGATCCTCAGACCCCTTGTGAGACCATATGCTGGTGCGGTTGGCCCTGGGTTCCTCCTAATGCAAGACAATGCTAGACCTAATGTGGCTGGAGTGTGTCAGCAGTTCCTGCAAGAGGAAGGCATTGATGCTATGGACTGGCCCGCCCGTTCCCCAGACCTGAATCCAATTGAGCACATCTGGGACATCATGTCTCGCTCCATGCACCAACGCCACGTTGCACCACAGACTGTCCAGGAGTTGGCGGATGCTTTAGTCCAGGTCTGGGAGGAGATCCCTGAGGAGACCATCCGCCACCTCATCAGGAGCATGCCCAGGCATTGTAGGGAGGTCATACAGGCCACACACACTACTGAGCCTCATTTTGACTTGTTTTAAGGACATTTTACATTTTAGTCATTTAGCAGACACTCTTATCCAGAGCGACTTACAGTTAGTGAATACATATTTTTTTATACTGGCCCCCCGTGGGAATCGAACCCACAACCCTGGCGTTGCAAACGCCATGCTCTATCAACTGAGCTACATCCCTGCCCTACCCTGGACAACTGTGCGCCGCCCATGAGTCTCCCGGCTGCGACAGAGCCTGGATTCGAACCAGGATCTCTAGTGGCACAGTTAGCTTAGACCACTGCGCCACTCAGGAGTGGGGACATTACATCAAAGTTGGATCAGCCTGTAGTGTGGTTTTCCACTTTAATTTTGAGGGTGACTCCAAATCCAGACCTCCATGGGTTGATAAATTTGATTTCCATTGATAATTTTTGTGTGATTTTGTTGTCAGCACATTCAACTATGTAAAGAAAAAAGTATTTAATAAGATTATTTCATTCATTTAGATCTAGGATGTGTTATTTTAGTGTTCCCTTTATTTATTTGAGCAGTGTACTTTACCCATTCATAATGTGGAAGTAGGTCTATTTACTAAAGGTTGTGATGGTGCTTATCCAATGATGGGAGGCACGTTCCTATATTTGCATCGTAAAATTTAGCTAAATGACAATTCTACAGATGGCTGAAGACCTTCTGAAGATGGACACATCCTGCAGTTTGCTTGGCTGTGATGTCTCACCTCATGCCAAAATGTACAGGCTAAGGGCATTTGTGAGTGACATTTACAGTTTAGCAAATAGGGCAGTTTCCCTTCAAGAAGCTACCCAGAAGTTGAAAATAAAAGGAAATTGTGATGGTAGTTACTTTTTTCATTGATGTGTTTTTTCTCAATGTTTTATATCCAAATTGTAAACTATATTTTTTATTTAGTTTGTTTGTAGGCAACCCTCACTGACAGAGAAAGTGGACTAAACAATATATAGCAAATGTATGCTAACTCTAATAAACATTGCAGTGCCATCACTGTGTTTTGTGGTGGTCTTTGTTGGGGGCCCTGTTTTGGTCGTTTGCATATTACAGAGTCTGGCTTTAAAATAGTGGAACACACCCATTCAAACTTTTGTAAAGCACGATGTCAAAATAAAAGTGCCAACCAATGATTGTGCTCAGCTGGTAGAGCACGGCGCTTGTAACGCCAAGGTAGTGGGTTCGATCCCCGCGACCACCCATACACAAAAAAAAAAAAATGTATGCACGCATGACTGTAAGTCGCTTTGGATAAAAGCGTCTGCTAAATGGCATATTATTATTATTATTATTATTATTGTGAGTGTGAGTTACGTTGTCGGCTCTTGTAGCAAACCTTTATTTAGAAAATGTTGACAGAATGGCTTTTATGGCATTTGTTCATTTGGTTGTGTTTGTTAAAGATTATTATCTTCGAGTACAGAATTTCCAAGTAATTAGCAAGCTAAATAGCTAAACTCAAGCAGTTACTTTGAGGAGCAAATTAACGTTTGCAGACAAGCGTCCTGTTTTGCTAGCAGCTGTGTTAGTTATGGGCTAGCTGTAGCTAACAACATTAGCTAGCTAGCTACACTATATATACAAAAGTATGTGGACACCCCTTCATATTAGTGGATTCGGCAATTACAGCCACTCCCATTACTGAGAGGTGTACAAAATCGAGCATACAGCCATGCAATCTCCATAGACAAACATTGGCAGTAGAATGGCCTTACTGAAGAGCTCAGTGACTTGTAAAGGGTGGCTATTTGAAGAATCTCAAATATAAACATATTTTGATTTTTATAACACTTTTTGGTTACTACATGATTCATAGTGTTATTCATAGTTTGATGTCTTCACTATATTCTACAATGTATGCAAATAGTAAAAATTAGGAAAACCCTCTGAAGAGTAGGTGTAAACTTTGACGGTAGTGTATTAAGAACTCAATCAAAAAGTTTGGACACACCTACTCATTCAAGGGTTTTCCTACATTGTAGAATATTAGTGAAGACATCAAAACTATGAAATAACACATATGGAATCATGTAGTAAACCAAAAAGTGTTAAACAAATCAAAATATATTTTATATTTGAGATTCTTCAAAGTAGCCACCCTTTGCCTTGATGACAGCTTTGCACACTCTTGGCATTCTCAAATCAAATCAAATCAAGTTTTATTGGTCACATACACATGTTTAGCAGATGTTATTGCGGGTGTAGCGAAATGCTTGTGTTTCTAGCTCCAACAGTGCAGTAATATCAACAATTCACAACAATACACATAATACACACAATCTAAAACTAAAAGAATGATATAAACATTTGGACAAGCAATGTCGGAGTGGCATAGACTAAAATACAGTAGAATAGAATACAGTATATACATATGAGATGAGTAAAGCAAAAATATGTAAACATTATCACAGTGACCTGTCACGGATCCCCCCGGTACTGCTGCTCATTCCGTTCACCAGTTCCGGAGGTCTACGTCACCGGCTTTCTAGGCGTCACCGACGTGGATCATTACCACCAACCTCGGACTGTCTTGTCTCATTACGCACACCTGGTTCCCATTCCCCCTGATTAGTATGTGTATATATGTGCCCTCTGTTCCCCATTGTCCTTGTCGATTATTGTCCCATGTCTGTTGGTCTCGCGAGTACCGTGTATTGTGCTCTTGTTGTTTACGGGTCTCGTCCCATGTATTGTGTAGAGGTTACATCT